CCTGCCCCACTCACCCCGTCCCCTGCACACGTGGGGGACAAACCCCCTGCAAAGGTGGGGAACGAGTCCCTCTGCACCCCCCAGAGCGGGGGCCAGACCCTCACAGGGCTCTGGGCACAGCGGGGGCTGCGGGTCCAGGGGTGCCCCAGGCTGGTTCCAGAAGGTTCCAGGTGGTTCCATGGCCGTTGGGGTGCTGGGATGTCCCTTTGTGACTTGGGGGCCACTGTGACCCTGGGGGTTCAAGGGCACAGAGCCCTGGGGTGCCTCTCCCAGGAGAGCCCCTCCCTGAGGAGGCAGCAGCTCCAGGACCCCTCTGTGGCACAGGAGGATGGAGATGCCCCCGGGGAAGGCAGAGCCCAACTCCAATCCGGCCCAGGGAATGCCAAGCCCCTAGTCCCAGGAGGGACAGGGGACAGTGGAGGAGGAGGAAGAGGAGTGGGGAGTCTGCAGCCCCCGGGAGCTGTGCCAGGGGGAACGTGGCAGAGCCCCACTGCTGTCCCGAGGGGTGTGCCAGGGGAAAGCCAATGGATACAAAGATCTGTCCCAGTGGTCAGAACTAATCAACCAGGAGATGTCCCAGATGGAAGAATTCATTGACCAGCAGCCCTGCTCCAGGAAAGCCAAGAGCCAGCAGGAACTGTGCCAGGGGCAAGGCAGTGGATACAAAGAACTGTCCCAGTGGGAGGGTTACACTGGCCAAGAGTTGTGCCAAGGGCAAGTCAACAGATCCCAAGGGCTGTGCCACAGGGAAGTCAACGGACCCAAAGATCTGTCCCAGTGGGAAACCCTCATCAGCCAAGAGATGTCCCACTGGGAAGACCACAGGGAGCAAGGGCTGGGCCAAGGGAGAGTCAGTGGGTACAGAAGTCTGTCCCAAAGGGAAGAATTAATCCACCAAGAGATGTCCCAAATGGAAGAACACATTGACCAACAGCTGTGCCAAAGGAAAGCCAAGAGACACCAGGAGCTGTGCCAAGGGCAGGTCAGGGGGTACAAAGAACTGCCCCAATGGGAAGCCTTAATCAACCAGGAGATCTCCCAGATGGAAGACTTCATTGACCAAGAGCTGTGCCAAGGGAAAGCCAAGAGACCCCAAGAGACCCCCAGAGCTGTGCCAAGGACAAGCCAAGGGCCCCCAGGAGCGGTGCCAGGGGGAGGTCAGTGCACACAAAGATCCCTCCCAACGCTCCATCACCCCAGAGATGTCCCGGTGGGAAAGACCCCATTGCCCAAGGGCTGTGCCAAGGACAAGCCAGCAGAACAGGCAGCACATGCCCACCCTCCCCACCCGTGCCAGGGCTCAGCACCCTCCAGCCCACTGCCCA